GGGGCGGCTGCGTGCGGGGGCGGCGGACACTTACACTGGACTGACTCCCGCAGGGCCACCCTGCCCGCGGCCGCTCTGCGCCCGGCGCCCTCCCGCCCTCTTCTCTTTTTATTTCTTCTCCTACCCTGACGCGAATCCCTTCCTATTTTTTGGTCAGGTAGCATTGGGGGGCCCCCACCTCCCCTGTCCCCTATTCCCTCGCCATCTCCAGCTCCCTTTTCTTTTCTGGTCTTTATGAATATATTTATATGGACAGAATTAAGAAAGACAAAATTGATTTCCCCTTTTCTCTCACTCCCCACCCTGTGCCCCCAAGCCCCACAGAGTTAAAGCTCCCCACACCCCAGAACACCTGTACATTGTTTGTTTGAGATTTGTGCCGCAGTAACAGACACAGTATTTAATTGCACATAAAGATGTTTGCTGGGTATATTCACTGTAAATTTTATTTAATCTGATTTTTTTTGTTTGTTTGGGGATTTATTTGGGGGGAGGTTGATTTTGTTTTTAAATATATATAAAAAAAAAAAAACCAAACTGTCACTGGACGTGAGCATTCCTCTGTTGCCGCTCCGGTGGGGCGGGGCCGGAGGGCTGGGGGGCGCCGGCCCCCGCGGGGAACAGTGCTCCTGGCTGGCTCGCTGCCCCTTGCTGGTGCGGGCGAGTGGCCACGGGGCTTGGGCTCGGCCCCAGCGGCCACTGATGTGGTCGCGGGGCGCCTCCCGTCCCTGTTCCCGTCCCAGTGAGACGTGGCGAGGGGCGACTGGTGACCCACGCTGCTCCGGCTGCGAAGCTCTCGGGCACCCACTTAGGGCCTTGGCTGGCAGGGGCCGAGATGCAGCACGGGCCCGACTCACCCCACCTCCTCCCGAGGACTCCTGGGAGGAAGGACCCGGGCCTTTGCCCTCATCCCAGAGCCGACAGGCCGGGCTCTACCTGACAGGAATGGAAGTGGATAGTTTTTAAAATTAAAGCTACGCTCAGTGGAAGTCTCAGTGCCAAGAAGCCGCGTCCCCTGGTGTACTGTGCAGCTGACCAAAGCTAAAGCAAGTCACTGCCTGCAAAATGGGTCTTTTTCTCTCTCTTTTTTTTCTTTTTTAAGGTTTATTTATTTGTGCACACAGGACCTGGGGTGCAGGCCAGAGGTGCGGGGGTGAGAGGATTCCCCAGAGACAGAGTGGGGAGCTGGACAGGCGGATCCACTGAAACACACTGCTGAGGGGAGCAGCGGGGAGACAGGAGGGGGCCGCTGCGCCCTGGGGGTCCCTCCCTGGCCAGCTGCCAAGAGCTTCACAGCACTGAGACTACCCCCGCGCCCCCAGGTAGGCCTCTGTCAGACGTCCTGAAGCCCCCCAGATCAGGGCTGCAGGTCTGACGAGCCACCCAGAGACGCTGTTGTCTCTCATCCCCCCCTTTGAGGAAGAACAAAGATAGTGGGGAGAAAGGACCAAGAGCATTGCCCCAGAAGTTTCTGGGGTCTGAGTAGCTGTGTTTTGGCCAGGCTCCCCTGAAGTTTGTCTGAAACCCGACCGCCAGTGTGACCCGTTACTTCTTAGACAAGGAATAAACACCACGTCCCACTTGCAAATCGCCCTCCTCCAGGAGCGGTCTCTGTATCCGCGCGGACCTGTGAGCCAGAGTGGGCTCCTCGGTCCCTGCCGCTGGCCCACCAGTGCCGGCCTGAGGGAAGTGGGGTGCGGCAGCGAAGTGATTTAGGAGCCGCAGGCCTCACAGGGAAGGGGCGGTTGTTCCCGAGGGAACAGCTGGCGGCGGCTCCCACCTGCTGTTGAGTGGCTGCAAGCCTGCAAGGCCTTCTCACCTGCGTCAGCCGGCGCCCCCAGGGCCCCTCAGCTGGAGGTGCCCCTGGCCTGCCACAGCCCTGCGCTCCAGGACGGTTGGAGAAATGGGAAAGGAGCCGCCGGCACCCCAGACCCCAGAGCCGCGGCAAGTTCCTGGCGCCGACGGGGCAGTGGCCAGCGGCCCTCAGCTGCGGCGGGCCAGCGCTCGGCCTGGCAGAAGGAGGGCGAAGGGTCCACGTGTTCCCTGATTCGCTGCTTCCTGCCCTGGCCGGCGATCGCGGTGGATGGTCGCTGGAAGGCGCGAAAGCACGGCCGGCCCAAGGCGGCGGCGGCCGAGGAGTCGGGTGGGTCTCGGGGCGCGAGGGGCCGTCGTCTCCCGCCCCCCGCCGCACTCCTCGGCCACCCGTGGGTGGGGACAGGAACAGACGCTGGCTCGGGACTCAGCCGGTGCCGCCTGCCCGCCGCGGGCGGAGGGCCGGGCGTGTGGGGGATGGGAGCCGCGGGTCAGGCCCTGCCCCGGCCGCCGGGTCCAATTTCTCAGTGTCAGCTGTCTCTCAGCTGTCCACTTTCCTCCAGCCTGTCATTTCAACTCTGACACCAAGCACGCGGCCAGGCGGTCTACAGCTCCCACCGCAGCTGGTTGAGCAGAGGCCGCAGGCCGGACGGGACTGTCTAGCCCCAAGGAAGTGCACAGCCCCCCAACACCCGGCAGGACCCCGGGGCACCCTCCTCCCTCCACAGACTGGACTGACTTAGGGAATCAGAAACGTAAGTTGCCTCCTCATCCTCTTTCTGGCCCCAGCGTGCTCACCCTGCCCGCCACAGTAGTGTGGTCAGCTGCTTTATTTCTCACCTAGTCTGCGAGTCGTTTGGCTTTCAGGAGTGAAATAATTACTTTATTCCAGAGTAAAACTAGGATTAGAGGGTGGAGCGGAGGTGGGGTCAGGGACCAGTGGGAAAGGAAAGGCTCATGTGACCTGAAAACTTAAAATAGCTGGGGCCTGGGACAGGCTTGGGCCTAGGCACCAAGCCCCAGGGCTCAAGAAAGGCAGCAGCCGGGGGCGGACAGGGCCGCGCTCCCAGGAGGGCCGGGGAGGCGTGGTCCTGCCTCCCCAGAGGAGACACAGCCTCTGCCCAGAGCCCCAGCCCTGCAGCTGGGACCCCCAGCCTGGGACCGCGGGCGCTGGGTGGCGGCGCGTCTGCAGAGGCTTCCCTGGGCCCAGGAACCCGCCTGCACATGAGCTCGGCCAGGGGTCTCTGCTTACTCGTCTCTCCCCCAGAGTCTCCCCTTCAGGGATCGCCTCTCACACGTTAAGGGACTTGAAAAGGTGGGGGGAGGAAGCCAGGGTTAGATTCCATAGTGGGTCCAACCTCTTGCAGGATGACAGAAAAGGAGGTGCTGGAGTCTCCTAAGCCCTCCTCCCCAGCAGAGAGCGGGCACGGCGGGGTGAGTGGCCTCGGACCGTGGGTGCTGCGGGGGTGGGGGCCACGGCAGCCCTGAAGCAAAGTGCTTGACTTGATCGCCTGTGGCTGTGCCCAATCACTGTCAGGGTGCCAGCCGGCACCCTTGCTCCGGGGTCGCCTGTTCAGGCGAGGACCACACCCCGTTAGCTGCAGCCCCTGCTCCGGAGCAGGGGGCGGTGGTTTGATGCCGGGTCCCCTCACTCCCGCCTCCCCGCCAGCTACAGCGGCTGAAGCAGTTGTTCAGGAAGGCGTCCCCAGAGGCGAAGGCGATGGAGGCCCCCCCGGAGCCCCAGGCCAACGGGGAGGCGGTGGGGGCTGGGGGCGGGCCCATCTACTACATCTATGAGGAGGAGGAGGAAGAGGAAGAGGAGGAGGAGGGGCCCCCCCCAGAACCTCCAAAGCTTATCAATGACAAGCCCCACAAATTCAAAGATCATTTCTTCAAGAAACCCAAGTTCTGCGATGTCTGTGCCCGGATGATCGTGCGTGAGTCATGGGGCGCGGTGGCGGGACGCCGTGGGGGGCAGCGGGCGGGAGGCGGGGTGCGGAGGGGTGTCCCTGCGGCAGACCGGCTTTCGGACCACGCTGTCGGGGGCCGGAGGGGCCGAGTCTCCGGCAGAAACAGCGGGAAAGCTGGGGTCCGAGCGGGGCTGCAGCGGGGAGCCTCACCCACCTGCTCTCCCCTCTCCCAAGTCAACAACAAATTTGGGCTCCGCTGTAAGAACTGCAAAACTAACATTCACGAGCACTGTCAGTCCTACGTCGAGATGCAGAGGTGCTTCGGCAAGATCGTGAGTGGGGCGGGGGCGCGGCAGGGCGGGGCGGCCTCCCTTCGCCACTCGGGATCGGCTCTGAGGCCTCCGTCCACCCGCAGCCCCCTGGTTTCCACCGGGCCTACAGCTCCCCGCTGTACAGCAACGAGCAGTACGCGAGTGTCAGAGATGCCTGTGAGTGCCCGCGGGCCTGGGGCCGGGCGGGGGTCAGCGCCACTTCCAGACCGGGAACCAGCAGAAAGACTCGCTTCCGAGGCGCTCCCCTGGGCGAGCAGGCCGGCGCCCTGGACGCAGAGAAGGCCTCTCCCTGTTAACAGCTGAGGGGGCCGGAGGCCGCCAAAAGGAAGCCTCACCTGCCTCGCCTCAGCACCTGCGCTCTCCACGGGCAAAACCATTTCTGACCACAAACAAGGGCCCGCCTGCCGCCCTTAACAGAGCATGGCCGGTGAGCTGCGGCGCCCAGGGACGGGCCAGAAGCTGGCAGAGCGCCAAGCCGGCGTGGTGGGGAGGACAGGCTGGCACTGAGGAGCGTGGGGAGGAAGAGGAGCCGCTCGGTGGCACCCGACTTGCAGTGCCACTCGGCAGGATGAAGGCCAGCAGAAGGGCCCGGGCCGCAGCCCCCAGCCAGGCCACCCGCCCGAGGCGCCCTGCCTGCCGGTGTGCCCGAGGCCCCATGCGGGCGGCGCCTGCTGTGCCCCTCTGCCCCTGCCCCTGCCCCGGCCTGCTCCCATCCCACCGCAGGTTTCCACCCCGCTCTCCTGGGGTCTCTGCGCCCGCGCCTTGCTCTGCCCGTAACATCTCGCCTTCTCCCACCCCAGCAGCGGCTGCCAACCGCAACGACCCCGTGTTTGAGACGCTGCGCACCGGGGTGATCATGGCGAACAAGGAGCGGAAGAAGGGGCAGGCTGACAAGAAAAACGTGAGCGCCAGCCTGCTGCCGGGCCGTGGGAGCGAGGGCCGTTCCCCGAAAACCGCACAGACGGTTGTGCAGCTTCAGGGCCTCTTAGAGCTCTGGCCCTACAGTGTTTTCTCCAGGAAGTGACCAGATGAAGGCTACACCCTAGGCAGCAGGGGCTGAAGATGTGCTTTTGGGTTGGGTGACGAGAACTGGTCACGCCAAGTACGCAGAGAATTCTAGGTAACACGCAGAGGTCCGCAAAGGCCACAGTCCGGCCCGTTCACCTTACTGACGGGGCACGAAGCTCGTGCCCGGGGGTTGCTTCACCCTTCTGTAACAGGGTCAGGAAGGCCACGGGTTAGGTTCCGCTCAGAAGGAAATTCGGTAGCGCCCGTTGTCTCTGGGTAGCCGGAGGGCGCTGTGAACGGCGGCCGCAGTCAGGTGGAGTCCCAGGACCGGCTGACTGGCAGTACCAGAGTACCCTGGCTCCATGAGAAGTGCCTGGCTGGGGGGCTCCACTGCCATGACACGACGGTCTGGGTGCCCCCCACTGGTGCAAGTGAAGATGTGATTGGTTTGTCCATTACGTCTGCGGGAAACCTAGGAGGGGACCTTAACCACTGACCAATAGATTTACAAATCTTACAGACTAGGAGAACGGGTAAAAGCTAATCACTTGAGCATCTGTAGAGAAAAACACCTGAATCTTCTTGGATCAAAAGAAAAATCAGCGGCACAAACAGCCAAAGGCCTACTAGCCTCAAAGTGGTGGACGTGGAGGCTGGCGCAAACCAGCGATTTCTGTGGGCTCAGCCGGCTTACAGGGCGCTCGCAGAGTGACTTGCTGTTTCCAGAAGCACTGTGGCCTCTCTTGTCCTGGGGGATTCTAAAAACTGCTGCCCGGTCTCTCTTACACGGATGGGAGTGGGCGCGGGACCCACGTGGGTGGGCAGCTGCTGTCCTCGGGCTGGCTGTGCTGCACGGCTGCAGGCCGCAGGTCAGGGTCAGTGGCCGCGGCGGGCAGACGGGGAGACGGGCATCGTCTCTGTGCCACCTGCGCCCGCCCGCGACACTGGCAGGGGCGTGCGGCGCCGTAGAGGCGGGTGGCCGGGTTGGGTGTCTCCTCCAAGGCTGCTTTCCTCCCCGGGGCGCTGTGACTCTAAGGTTTCTGGCCTCACTCTGGGCTCCCAAGACAATACCCTGATGCTGGTGCCCCCTCCAGCCCCTAGCGGCCATGATGGAAGAGGAGCCCGAGTCAGCCAGAGCAGAGGAAGGCAGCCCGCAAGAGGGTGAGTGTCGCCCCCGAGCCGGGACACAGGGCGGTGTCCCCCCAGCGCGAGGTGGGGGCCAGGAGTCCCCGGGTGTGGAGCTAAGGTTAAAGAGGGGCTTCAGCAGGCTGGCAAAGGGTGAGCCAGAGACAGTGTTGGCATTTCCCATCCAGGCAACCCTGAAGGGGCTAAGAAGGCAGAGAAGAAGACTCCTGATGACAAGGTGAGAGCCATCTTCCCTGCAGGGGCCCTCGTCCTCTCCCCCGCGCACAGCGGCTCCCGCTGGGTCTGTGGGTGCCTGCTCACCTGCCTCCCGCACGCCCGCGTGTACTCACGCACACAGAGCTCTAGATCTATATATTCCTTTTAGTTCAGGGGCCTGGGAGACAGTGGGAACGTGGGTGTGAAGTCTGCCCCGCCTTGGATTCCTGTAGCTCACTGTGGGGACAGAAAAGCCCTGACCGTGCCAACCCTCTCACCCCCAGCACAAGCAGCCCGGCTTCCAGCAGTCTCACTACTTTGTCGCCCTCTATCGCTTCAAGGCCCTGGAGAAGGACGATCTGGATTTCCCGTGAGAGGCCTTAGGATCGGGATGGGGCGTCCTGGGGAAGGAGGGGTCCTCTAGGCTTGCAGCCCCCTGGGGCTGGGCCTGCCACGGCCAGTGGACCGCGGCGTGCCCCTGACCCTCACCTTCCTCTCCCAGACCCGGAGAGAAGATCACCGTCATCGACGACTCCAACGAAGAGTGGTGGCGGGTAGGAAAAATAGCTGAGCCTGGGGTTGCACTGGGTTGCGCTCAGAGCCTGCGACTGATCCCGCCATCTCCCCAGGGGAAAATAGGGGAGAAGGTCGGGTTTTTCCCTCCGAACTTCATCATCCGGGTCCGTTGTGGAGAGCGCGTGCACCGCGTCACGAGGTCCTTCGTGGGCAACCGAGAGATAGGGCAGATCACTCTCAAGAAGGACCAGGTAGCTCCGCGGGGCCAGCGGCCGGCAGGGCCGTCTGCACACGACACCCTCCCGGGGCGGGACTGCAGGCGCCTCCGCGTCCAGCGCCCGCCGGCCGGGCCCTCCCGACTCTCCCCGACCCTGTCGTCCTCAGATCGTGGTGCAGAAAGGGGACGAAGCCGGAGGCTACGTCAAGGTCTACACCGGCCGCAAGGTGGGGCTGTTCCCCACCGACTTCCTGGAGGAGATTTAGGGGCGCAGCCTGCCTGCGCCCCACGTGGGCCGGGCCCGGACGCTGGGGGGAAGGCGCGAAGGGCCCGCTGCTGGCTGGGGGCGGGGGAGCCTGTGG